CGGGTGGTCTAGAACCGCTCTCTTTAGTGTATTTAGATAGCGGTTCTGGGAACCGCTATCTAAAGTCCCAATTTAAAAAAAAAAATATTTAAATTTGGAAATTCCAATTTTATTTTCTCATAATTTGTACATGATACACCACAATTTCAGGGTATATTTCAAATTAACCTAACAAAATCCAGCCAGCATACAATATATATTCACAGAATTGTAGAAAGCAATTCAAAAATTGACAAATTACAACTAAAATTTCAGGTTATATTATGTGACTAACTGTGTTGCACATTTACAATTACAACAAAACCTAACAAAATAATTCATCTACAACGAACTGGTGGAACAATTTGTTAACATGAAGTTGAAGGATTGTAATAATGAATGACTTGTGAATTTTAATTGTTGTAGACATATAAACATCAATGTAAATTTAGATTGTACTATTTTAATATTATTGGTTTGTTATGTATTGAAATGTCTACAATTAGGTTCGCTTTTTTTGAAGGTAGATTGTACAATTACGTAAATGTATGGACCATCAACTGCTGATAAATGCATTGAAGAAATTACAATTGCTGTTACATTATTATATTTACATCCACAACTCTTACAAGATCAGAATGTATAGTCTACACTACTGTTGCACGTTTATGTCCTATCATATATACTCTAACAAAATCAGAATGTATAGTCTACCCTACTGATGACGTTATCCGGCCAACAAGACATTGAATCAAAAAAAGCTCTCGTCAATCAACATTCTTATATTGTTAACATGTGCAGTTGAAAGTCATTGAAACGTCACTAAGTTAGTTGTGGTCTAAATAACACTGCAAAATTCTATGTAGTAGATATTAACACTTATGTCCTGCATGTTGAATCAGGAGTTAACATCCTCATCTAGGAATAGAAATGTAGATATTGTATTTGATTATTTGTTCATCTTCATTGATGAATGTTGTATAGTTTATTCATATGTAATATAACTGTTAAGTTGGTTATGGATCATTTAAATGTTAAATATTATGACATTAACAAGTGACTGATTTTTGGACCATGGTTACTATTTTTTGTATCATTTTTTTTTATTTTGACAATTACATTATTGATTGGGTTTTACCGTCCCAGTTGCACAATATCCCTATTCAGATGATGCAGACTATCTCTATGTAACAGAGAGTGTATATTGAGAACCACAGTTGTACAACATACATTTAATTACTACCAGATTTATATTTTACGAACATATGAAGATAACAGATAACTTCATGCTTAATAGTTGTAAAGAATGCGCTTAACAAAAAACAGATAACTTCATGCTTAATAGTTGTAAAGAATGCGTTAAGCAAAAAACAGATTGAAATTTGCATGTCACGTCTCATTCAAGTTCAGCATTGGCCACAGACGAATTGTCCAATGCAGTTAGCCACATACTGTAACATGGATAACCACATATTAGAATCACTTGCCGCTCGACCGAGAACAACGTCGCTTGAGCGAGAAACAAACCGAGAGTCCCTATTTTTTGTAAGGGTACCTCGCTCAAGCAATGGAGTTTTAGCTTAAGCGAGTGATGGACGTAAACGTAACGTCCAACGCAGGTAGCCACATAATATGACATGGGTCACCACATATTCGAATCACTTGTCGCTCGAGCGGTAATATCGTCGCTTGAGCAAGACAGAACCCGAGAGTCTCCATTGTTTGAAGGCACCGTCGCTCGACCGATGACTTCCTCGCTTGAGCGACTATTGACCTATGAGGAAACGTCCAACGCAGTTAGCCATATAATATAACTTGGTTGACCACATATAAGAATCACTTTTCGCTCAAGTGAGTACACCGTCGCTTGAGCGAGACAGAACCCGAGAGTCTCTCTTGGTTAAGGTTCCATCGCTCAAGCGATGTTATCCTCGCTTGAGCGACTATTGAAGCACAGACCATAGACCTTAGATAGCTGTTAATAAGAACCGCTTTTAAAAATGTATATTAGATAGCGGTTTGCTCTGAACCGCTGTCTAACGAATGTTTATAATAGCGGTTTTTTTATAACCGCTCCCTTATATCATACTTTTAAAGAGCGGTTGACCGTTGGAACGCTATAATAAATTTAGTTTAGATAGCGGGTGGCCAAATAACCGCTATTTAAAGTTATATATGTCAACATTGGATCATAATTTTCGATAACCGATTATAATTGGGAATGATCGATTATAGTTGGAGAACATCGATCATAGTTTGTGCTAAGCGATTATAGTTCTACATAATTTCGCTCTGCATCTCTCTCGCCGGCGCACGCAAAAGAAACGTTCGTTCTCTCCCGGCGTTCGTTCTTTCCCGGCTCTGGTTTGTATATGGTTGGTGTTTTCGGTTTTGAATTTTAATTTGATGGTTCATCTTGTTTGATTTCGTTTGCATGGTAAAGAAGAAGCATACAACAACCATCGAGGTTAATGTATTCTTTGCTTTCTAATTACTCGCAGATTCTCTGTTCTCTGTTTTCGTTCACTGTTGACTATCTCAATAGTCCTAAACATAAACCATGGCGGGCAAAAGAAAAAGCTCCAAGCGCTATCTAAAGTTCCAATTTAAAAAAAAATTATTTAAAATTTGGTTTGCTTTTTTGGTCCAAAAACTAGGTTTGCGTTAAAATTATTTAAAATTATCTAAAGTCCCAATTTAAACTCCCAGAACTATTTTAATATTATTGGTTTGTTATATACTGAAATGTCTACAATTAGGTTTGCTTTTTTTGAAGCTAGTTTGCTGTTATCATGCAGTGTGATTTTTATTACATGTCTTTCATTCGACGTAATAAACAACCGATGATTGTTACGTAAATGTATGGACCATCAACTGCTGATAAATGCATTGAAGAAATTAAAATTGCTGTTACATTGTTATATTTACATCCACAACTCTTACAGGATCAGAATGTATAGTCTACACTACTGTTGCACGTCTATGTCCTATCATATATACTCTAACAAAATCAGAATGTATAGTCTATACTACTGATGACGTTATCCAGCCAACAAGACATTGAATAAAAAAAAAACACTCGTCAATCAACATTGTTATATTGTTAACATGTGCAGTTGAAAGTCATGGAAACGTCACTAAGTTAGTTGTGGTCTAAATTATACTGCAAAATTCTATGTTGTAGATATTAACACTTATGTCCTGCAAGTTGAAGAAGAAATCATTAGTATACATCAACGTAATGCAATTCTAAACTAATGTAATATTCATTGTTGACAAAGTATTTCATTAAAAAAACAATGTTTCCAAACCATTTAGTTGAGGAAGACAATTGTGTGCCGTCAACATTATTGTCAAGTGATGTCAACAACGACCCAAAACCAGTGGTACCCAATGTTGATGGCTGCAAAGGGCAACAATTACATGAGTTTTGACATATGACTTTACTGCCATTTTACATAACATATACTGCATAAACAGTATATCAATCCCACAAATAAATTCAAATGAATTGCATATCACACTTTAAATAAAGCAAATTCAATTGAACAATCACTATAACATGAAATAAATTTCATTTTTGACACACACCAATTCAGATGACCGATAATCAACATGAGTTTCTATGTGAATGGTTGAGTTTAATAACTCGGGCGAAGTTCCTTCAGTGTTCCCCTGTAATGGCGAAGATAAGATATTAATGAACTTATGAAATCATCCAATACAAAATAACATGACAGTTGTGGATATAATACTTACAATATTTGTGGTGCACGTGTGCTGGCCTTTATTTTTTAACCTTCACGTTGCAATTTTTTCACTTGTTGACACCTTTCGGAGTGAACGTGGTCTTCCTTTCCTTTTAACATGCAACGGGCTACGAATGTCAATGTCAACATATAAGCTTTGTGAATCTGTAGGAGTATTACTTTCGCAGATATTGGTATCTATTTCAGTTTGAGAACGTTGAGATGTATGTGTTGGAGCAAATTTATTCATCATTTCATGCAACATGTCCGTCTGCTCAATTGACTCTGATTCAACTTCAATTGTGTGTTTAAAAAGTTCAAGCCAAACTGTTTTTATAGAAGATTTTCAAAACTGCTGGTTTAATTAATCTGTTAAAAGATTCTTTTAATCTGTTAAAAGTGCAGTTTTAATCTGTTAAAACTTCTTTTAATCCATTAATACGTTCTTGATTCTTTAACAGATTTGTTTTAACTGATACGACAACGTTTATATCAATTAAAACACTTTACAAAAAATCCTCTAAGTTGATTTAATCGATTGTTTCGTGATTCCATCGATTGAAATACTGCAAAACTTTCTTGTAAAACTTATCAAGTTATTTTAACTGATAAAAATAAGTTTTAATCGATTAAAACGCTGTGAAGAAAATTTCTAAGTTGTTTTAATCGATTGAAAAGAGTTTTAATCGATTAAAATAGTTCTGATCGGTCATAAATAAATTCTGATCGATCATCCTTAACCCTTAAGTGGTTTTAATCGATTGAAACGTTTTTTAATCGTTTAAAATATTTCTGATCGCTCATAACTCAATTCTGATCGATCATATCTTATTATGATCGGTCATAATTGCATTATGATCGATCATCCTGAACCCCAAGTGGTTTTAATCGATTAAAATCAAGTTGAATCGATTAAAATACTGTAAAAATATTTCTCTTAACATTTTGAGTGATTTTAATCGGTTATTTCAAAACTGTATTAGTTAAAAACTTGTTTAAGAAAGCTTTTGTCAAAATACTTTGTTTTTAATTGTTTAAAACATTTTTAGAGGCATTTTGCAAAAACTTTTAAGTGAAGAAACCTCATGCAGCAGAAAGGATAAAATGATTATACCTAAGCATGCTGTAGACACACTAATCCTTCTACTCTTTTATCTTAGTGACTTGTTGACCGCTACAAAGTTGACTTTTGACTTCATCAAATCAATGAGATCTTTGCCAATGTATTTCAATAAGATCTTCATCTCTTTCATTATCAACAAAGGTTTACAAATGGAGTTGGTTAAAATTTTGAGAATCTTCACATCCATTGATTTCTCCTCCAACCATTTTGAAGGCCCGATACCAGACAAACTAATGGAATTCAAAGAACTTTATGCCCTCGACTTGTCAAACAATTGTTTGTCTGGTAAAATCCCATCATCAATTGACAACCTGATCCAGTTGGAATCTCTAGACCTTTCAAAAAACTCTTTGAGTGGAGAAATTCCTATACAGCTTGCAAGTTTGTCATTTCTTTCATATTTAAACCTCTCTTTCAATCATTTGGTGGGAAAGATTCCAACAGGTACCCAACTTCAATCATTTCCGGCTTCTTCCTTCGAAGGTAATGATGGGTTATACGGTCCTCCATTAATTGAAAAACAAAAAGACAAGAAACTAGGGGTGCTGCTAGAACCAGAATGTAGAAGGCTAGTGTGTATAATTAATTGGAATTTTATCACTTTCGAATTGGGACTGATTTTTGGTCTTGGAATTGTGATCGGTCCACTCTTGTTTTGGAAACAATGGAGGGTATGGTATTGCCAACTTCTGAACAGAATTCTTTGCCTCATCTTTCCGCAATTGTATCTTCAATATGTGACCGATAGAGGACAAACATATGCAATTTTAAGTTGGTGGTATTAGTGATTAGAAGCAAGTGTGCAAGTAAGTGAAGTTATGAATCAATCTTCTTTCTATCTCTCTTTCAAATTCACTAGTTGTTTGGGCTTCATGTCTTAATGTGAAAAATAAATTTGCTTGGAATTTGAAAATATATTATGTTATGAGTTATAATTTGCATATAAGTTTGATATAATTGAATAAGTTGTTTTTCTCACCCTCCAATTTATCAAATTTCAGTGCATATTTGATAAAGCTTATGATTTATAAGTTACAAGATTAGTCAAATTTTGTTTTAACATTCTTAAATTTTCTGATATGCAATTATATACTTTTAGAGTGAGTAAGTGAATTCATTGAGTCTAAAACTAACTTTCAGCCTCATTCCATGCATGCTAAGTTTTCTATGATTCAAGAATAGTGTATGCGCAAAACATAAATTTGACGTGAGAAATTAGAGAATAGAAAATATTTAATTCATTTGTGTGAAATATTAAACTATATTGATATCAGCAGAATTTTAACATCAATGAGATTTGCTTGGTGAAGTTATGACATGTAAAGAAAAATAAAAAATAAAAAAACCCGACCTACCGGATTCGAATTAGTTAGAACAACTAACTACATTCCTACGCTCTACCAACTGAGATAAGGTCGGTTCTTTAACATTTTAACAAATTAAAATATAAATAATAATTTATTAACCTAATTCTTTTATTTTATTTTTTTTGCGTCTTTATTTTTAAATGTTTTTTTTTTAATTTCCTCTATTTTAATCCTTAAAAAATTTGCATAAACTATTTCTCCAAAAGGCACAATTGTTTTTAAGTCATTTAAACACTGTGTTGCGACGGAATTAATGAAAAATATGATTTGTATCTCATTCACCAGAACAATTTCATTTCTTTGAAAAAAATAAAAATAAAACACATAACTTATTACCTGAACACAACCTGGGCATAGAAATTTAATAAATAATTTAAAAATAAATTAAAAACAAAAAATGACATGTATATTGATACATATCTTATTTTATTGTATATTTATTAATCAAAAGTGACATTTGATGATATGTTATATTTTTGTCATCTAAACAAGGGGATGAAAAGGGACTAACTTTTTTTTAAGACTACTTTCTGCATATTTTTTAAAATAACAAAAAATAATAGTGATTATTAGTGGACTATTTTCTAAACATTTTCTTAATAATAAAAAACAATTGTATTTAAATATATTTAAGCATTTAAAGAAAATAATTATCTAAAAACAAAATACTCCTAATGAAATTTTTTTATAAATAACATAAGTTGTTTATGATAGATCAAAGTACAATTTGGGTCAATTCATCAATATGATTTTATATTTGATCTCATTTGAAATTGTCAGCAGCAATTAAGACTATGTTTAGAAGCTTCTCAAGTAAAATGGAGTCATGGTTATATTTTATTGTTTGATCAAGTAAAAGAGAAATTTCATTGAATAAAATAATGTAAAAAAACGGTTTTACTTTTAGAAATTTGGAGTTTTCCAATTATTGAATCAAATATTCTTTTCCTCTCTCCTCTTTGGTGTGTGTGGGGGTGTTTTTACTTTTTTATTTCATTGCTAAGCATTACTCTGCAATGCAAATGATGAACAAACTCTAAAATCAAATTACAAAATGAATACAAAAGATTACAAAATAATGAAATTATTTATTAAAAAAAACTCAATGTATTTAATTTAAGATTAAGAGTTTATAACTAATCAAAAGCACAATATATAACACTTTCACAACTAAATTTTGATATAATATATTAGAGTTGTCAAAATAAATAATCTAACCTAATTTAGTATGATTTTTATTGATTAACTAAAAAAATATTAATCACTTGATTTCATTTATATTTTAAAACAAATTAAAACTTTTTCGATTGAAAATTAAAAAAAAATCATTAAAATGTATATACCAAAACAATAAATTAAAAAAATATTTCAATAAAAATAAATTTAATTTATTATAATTTATTAAAATAGGAGATTAAGAAAGTAGGATGAAATCGGCAATGATTAAATTAATTTTGTTGTTAACCTTCATCTGGCAGGTTTATTTAATAATTTCTATCCAACGAGTACTATAATTTTATTTATAGATATCTTCTCACTTTTGTATCTTTGGTATATATTTTTTTTCCTCTTCCGTCAAACTGTAAAAAGTATAAGACGTGTAAAAAGTAAAGTAAATTGATTGAGTTTGAAAAGAAAAATCCAAATACCATAAAAAGTATAAAAAGTTAGTGCATTCATGATTTTTTATTTTTAATTTAGATAAATTTTCTTATCAGATTATAATTCTTAATTGAAAATATCAATTTTAACAAAGGCAAATAAACATCAAGACTAACGATACACTTACATCAAAATAGAAACGTCTGCAATTATACTACACTTATATTATGTGTTGTTATGCTATAAACATTAAAAGCTACAATAATCATCTATATCAACATAGTTATAAGCCATTGGCTTTTAATTAACTACAAACCCCCTTTATTCTCTTAGGGAGGAGACCTCAATTTGGAACCAAATTCATGTCCAAAATAATTATTAAGAAGTTCCATCTATCAAATATTCGATTTGTTGGTTAAGATATTCAATCACTACTCCGTGGTCAAACCACACTATGGTTAATTAGTAGAAACAGTTACAAAAATAGATTGAAATGTCAGAACTGAATGTGCTTTCTACTTCTCCATTTAGCTCTCCATTTTTTTTTTTCTCATTTCTGACTCCTCAAAAATCTTTTTTGTGAATTCAATAGAACAATGTCTGCCACTTTACTACATCAAGACCAATCAAAAAACAGATAAGGCAACACAAACGGCTGTCTTTAATTTATATCAATCTAGATATCATCTCCTTTGTCTTAATATTTACAGTTCCACGAACTTCACTGCAAGACCACTGCTCCTCTGCTCTTTCTTCACAAATCTGCCATAACCATGTCAAATGTTGAATCTAGTTTTAAAACCAGAAACACTGGTAATCACGTGAATGCACCCGTATAACTACAACAATTCCACAAAAAATACAACCTTCCGGGATCTAAATCTAATGCATTTTATAATTCTAATGGCTAAACAAAAAGGTAGCCACGATTATGGAAGTAGTTGACATTACATCTGAATGTACTGAAAGTTAAATAAATAAAGATAAATTCATACCATTGTTGATTTTTCCTGAATTCAGTAAGCACAGGATATATGTTCTCGAAGGCAGTGTATGTCTCATCTCTCACCTAAAAATGGAAATAAAAACATAAAATCCAGTACAACAGAAAATGGGGAGGAAATTGCAGGGGCAAACTAAAAGGAAAAAAAATACCTTCGCTCCTGTTAGAACAATTTTTCCGGAGACAAATATAAGCAAGACTATTTTAGGTTGCTTCATACGGTAGATTAGACCTGGAAAGAGCTCTGGTTCATACTGTGGCAACAAAAATGTAAAGTATCAGCAAATATCCATCATTTTCCTATACTTCTAGACTTTAGATGAAGCACATGCATAAAAATACAGAAGATGCCCCTTTCCACACAATTCATACTTAAGTTACTTTATCCCACGAGCATAGTGATTTATAATAACATTAGTCAAGTTTAACCATTTCACTCTATTAAAATTTTTAGAACTCTTCAAGTACCTATAATGTAAGGCAATGTACTAAAACAGATTTGCAACATAGTGCTTTTAACAAAATAGTTTTTCCATAGGTTATTTTCAAATCAAGATTATAATTCGAAAAAATTCCTTGAAATTATTTCAGAGACCACTAAACATCAAGAATTATATATCTGATCCAAGCCTATGAATTACCAAAAAATAAAGAACTTACACTTGAGAAAGCACCATGAGAGTATGCAAGACCCTCAAGCCGTATGGGGAACTTAACATCACACGAGCCAACAATGTTCTGAATTTTGAAATCCTAAAGCATATAATACCAAATGAATCAACTAGTAATCAAGCAGTACATAGTTAAGTGAGGAAAAAAAAAAAACAACAATCATGGATAAAACAGTTTCAGCAAAGATTATGAGGAAGAGAAGCAGTACCTTAAATTTGGCTGGGAAACCAAGCTTTTGGATAATCCGAGCATACTGAAAAGGAGAAAACCAAAAAACCGGAAAATAATGTAAATTTTTCAGAATGAACTTCACAATCCTAACCAAAGAAAACAACTTGAAGATCAATATTAAACATTGTAAAGAGTTAAAACCATCTGGCCTCCTTAAATTATTTAAGAGCTCAGTCTACTGAAAAAACAGGAAGAATAGTTTTAAAAGCAAGCTACCACAAATTGGTTTATTTTGCCAGGGCTTCCATTTAGGAAAATAACATCAATACCCAAAGCATGATAGAGAAATAAAATAACAAAAAACAAAGAACAGTAGCTTACCTTCCTGGCTGCCAATTTAGACTGTTGTTCACTCTTCGCTCCAGTACAAACCTAGTCAATGGTCATAAAAAATTTAATTTGAAGTACATAAAAAAGAGAATCCCTTTACAAGAAGGCTACCAAATTATTCAGGTTTTGTAATATAAAAAGTTTTGCCATGTCAGAAAGCAGAAAAACAAATTTCAACTTTTACAACCATGGTTGGCAATCTGGGAATCACAAACCCCTACAATTGGATTTAAGAATTTAAATGTATTGTAAATTGCAAGACTAATAACGCTCAATTATTAAAATAAGGGAAACATATTTTTCCACTAAATAAAACTGTAAAAATACGTTTAGAAAAAGAATGCATTCCTTATGTCCATTTTTCATAAATTAATAATTGAGCCATTGAGGTTACTCCATGATCGCATTCTCGCTCGTCAAGCTATACAGAGCCAATTGATTCATGCAATTCTGACTGATAAGTGGTAACTATGTTTGCAAACTCATTACTAGGACCTTCAATCATATACACTTAAGGCAAACACAAGCATGAATTTTATAGAGTTTCCAACCAACACCAGTTTGTTCATTGATTTGATGAACATAGTTAATTAACAATAGAATTCAACAAGAGAATCACACAACTACAAATTAACATGGATCTAATTACAGGACAGCTAAGTATAGCAAAATGCACAACTCTCATCTAGAAGATAGGCATGGCAGTGCAGAAATGAAGTATACCATCTTGCCCGAAGCAAAAATAAGTGCAGTTGTTTTGGGATCTCTTATCCTCATAATAACAGCAGCAAAACGCTGCAGGCAAACAAATCACAAATATCAGTACAGTAAACCACCAACCACTAGAACTAGCATAAATATTACATCTGCTAACTAATAATTCTGCAGAACACAAGTATTGTAACATACATAGATACCACATGGGATATTAACATAAAATAATAATTTTAGATTGACAATACTTCTCTGGTTCAGATAAGAACAAACAAATTTAGACAGCAGCATACAAGTAAACCTTTATTGTAATTCAGATGAAAAGGCAGAAATATAAACATGTATACATGCACAATTGTGCAGATAGCATAGAGTGAAACTCACTACAAGTAAACGAAACTTGCCTTGGGATTGTACTCTGCATTACGAGCTTGTAGTGCAATTGTTTTGAGGTCCAACTTACAGTCCAAATTTACTGTGGACACAATATTTCTGGCAGTACAAACAGCTTGATTTTTAGATTACACTATGTAAATAGAGGTAATATTATGAAGTGCACAAATGTAAATAGAAAAAAAAATGTCATTTTTATAGTAAATTGTAAACAGAAGCAAAATTATTATGTAATACAATGTAAATTCAAGCACAATCCTTAACATTCCAATGTGAAAAAAAAAAATTCTTATACATTCCAACTAAATAAAAGAAAATATTACTAATCAAAAGTAGGAAATAGCAGAAGATAGGACACAACATAAACAGCCACCTCTTAAAAGATAAAAACCAGGGTGATTATAATTTGGTGCAAGACAGATAGGTCAAGGATTACACGAGAAGACAGGATGGTAAAACATGCTGTGCTAGTATAGTGATGTTCTAATGTATGATTTTTGTATGGAAATAAGAAGATAAATACATACTTTGGCAAACATGACAGGTGTAACTGAAACATTGATATCCTATATTTTTGTATGCATTATGGTGGCTACCAATACCCAAGCTTAGGATATATTTAAGCAGAAAAATTGGCAATTAAATGTAGTATACTGGTACATAGCACAAATTGAAAAAAATTATTAGTATTCTGTAATATTTAACAGACTTCGAAATAATTATCATGAAACCAGCCAAGAAGTCCACAGCTAAAATTTCAGCTTTGATGTCAATGCTCACGGGCTATCTATCCTTTCATATGTCCACCATTGTCCACAATGTCAAAGATCTCAAAACATTTGTAACAGTAATTTGAAACCTTGACAGACAATAAGCAGATAACTACTAATCCCAGATTAGGACACCATGATTTCTCCCACAGTCAACACCAGTTAAATATCAATAATTGAATGTAAAAAAAGGTGTAACCCATCATCCCATTTGCCCCATGTTTCAACACAGTGACCTCAACAATACCAGCTACCGTTACACAGCACAAACATCATCACTCAAAAAGATTTTCATCACTATTTACAAGTTGAGTTCTCACAACTAACACAATAGTGTTAAGAAGATACAAGACATGGGAGTTGACTCAGTTGGATACCTATTACAAGCAAAGCATCAAAGTCTATTACAAAAAAGGGGGTTAACCTCACAACTTAAACCTTCAAATTCAACCATATGAAGCTTGCAATTGAAACCAATCGAAAAAAGGGAACGATCCAATTTGTCGAAAACAAAAAAGATACTCACTGAAGGGTAGGCACGATCCCAGAAGGGTGCTTCTGTAGATCCACCGGTTGGCTCCCTTCCAATCCTTGGTCAGCCATCAAACCCTAATTTATTAACCCAATCACAGAGCTGGCCACAACCAAAAAAACCGACCACGTTCAACACCAATCAGTACCAAACAAACAGAAAAAAAACTCCGCTTCCTTTTTCCTCAACTCTAAACAAAAGGAAAAAGAAAAACCTTTATTAGTTAATAACCAAACAGAAAAAGAACCCAGATCTCGAAAGTTAAGAAAACCCCAAAACAGTTAATCAAGGATTTTCACCCGATGCAACGAATCCCTTTTAACTGTCTTAAAATTAGTTTGAGAAAAGGAGAAATTCGGGGAGTTTGTGTGAAATCCGACCTAAAAGAGAGGAATTAGGGTTGGTATGTGCCCGTGGAACGAATCGGAGAGGGAAAAGGGTGACAAGAGTAGAGAGAGCGGGAAGGATTCGAAAGAAGAGTTCTTTTATAGGAGAAGAAGATAGAAAGACAGAATTCGGGATTTGTATGTTGTGATAGGTTTTGATTTGAAGAGAGAGAGAGAGAGAGTTTTCGTATGTCCAGAGAATGTGAGGAAGAGAGAGATAGAGAGAGAGTGAGTGAAAGGTATTTGTAACGCGATATCTAAACATACTAAAGAGAGCGGTTCTAGGCCAACCGCTATTAAACGTATCTTTTACATAGCCGTTAACTACGAACCGCTATTATATGTGACACATATATAATAGCGGTTCCACTTTAACCGCTCTTACAAATGAATCATATATCGCTCGAGCGAGAATAGAATCGCTCAAGCGAAACACAACCCGAGAATCCCCATCTTAGCAGGTGGCGTCGCTTGAGCGATGTAAATTTCGCTTGAGCGATATTAGAAAAATCAGATAAAATGATCGATTATTTTATGTTATAATCGATTATACTTTATGATGATCGATTATAAGTGATATATGATCGGTTATATTTTGCTAATGATGTCAAATCCGTTATTAACAAAGTATTGGGTGTCAAGAACATTTGGGGATATCACCTCCTTCGTGGTCACAGTTTGGGTACTTGAAGAACTCGCTTCTTAGTGGGTGCGCTTGGAGCTTTTTCTTTTGCCATGGTTTATGTTTACGACGATTGAGACAGTCAACAGTGAACGAAAACACAGAACAGAGAATCTGCGAGTAATTAGAACAGAACCCTATATTAAACTTAGACGAACCAGAGCCGGGAGAGAACGAACGTTTCTTTTTCATGCGCCGGCGAGAGAGATGCAGATCGAAATTATGTAAAACTATAATCGCTTAGCACAAACTATGATCGATGTTCTCCAACTATAATCGATCATTCACAATTATAATCGGTTATCTAAAACTATGATCGATTATTGTCCAATTGTAGTCGATCAGTGTGACATATATGACTTTAGATAGCGGTTAAGCGGGCAACCGCTATCTAAACTGCATTTATTATAGCGTTCCTAGGGTCAACCGCTCTTTCAAAGTATGATATAAGGGAGAGGTTATAAAAAAACCCGCTATTATAAAGATACTTTAGACAGCGGTTCAAGGCTAATCGCTATCTAATATATATTTGTAAAAGCGGTTCTTATTAACCGCTATCTAAGGTCGGGGAAACTCGGGTTCAGTCGCGCTCAAGCGACTATTTAATCGCTTGAGCGACATTTGAATCTTATATAACCATGTTATATTAGATGGCTAACTTCGCAGGACGTTTCGTCTGTGGTTCACCAGTCGCTCAAGCGAGGATGGTATCGCTTGAGCGATGGAACCTTAGCCAAAGGGGACCCACGGGATCTGTATCGCTCAAGCGAAGTCATCAAAGCTTGAGCGAAAACTGTTTCTAATATGTGGTGATCCAAGTTATATTATTAGGCTAACTGCGTTTAACGTTTCGTCAGTGGGTCAACAGTCGCTCACCCGACGAAATTATCGCTTAAGCGACAAAACCTGCAAACAATGGGGTTTCTCGGGTTACTTTTCGCTTAAGCGACGTTTTGATCGCTCGAGCGAAACGTGATTAGAATATGTGGTGACCCATGTCATATTATGTGGTTACCTGCGTTGGACGTTACGTTTACGTCCATCACTCGCTTAAGCTAAAACTCCATCGCTTGAGCGAGGTACCCTTACAAAAAATAGCGACTCTCGGGTTGTTTCTCGCTCAAGCGACATTATTCTCGGTCGAGCGGCAAGTGATTAAAATATGTGGTTATCCATGTTACAGTATGTGGCTAACTGCATTGGACATTTCGTCTGTGGCCAAGGCTGAACTTGAATAAGACGTGACATGCAAATTTCAATCTGTTTTTTGTTAAGCGCATGCTTTACAACTATTAAGCATGAAGTTATCTGTTATGTACAAAGCTGATACGTAAACCTATACATCTTTCCTACAATAAATCTTATCACTTGTACAATTTCCATATGCTAGTTTATATTGTTCTCTTCCCTTGTTCTTTTAATCTGAATTTCTTCTTTTATATTACATATCAACATCTTGCCATCAAAAATTCAAATGGAAATTCATGACCATTTTGTTTTGTGGAACTAAGTTATACTTGGCCGATTGTTGATGTTACTATGATGTTTACTTGAGCAGTGAGAGTGGGTGGTGGCCACGCCACGCTCCATATATCATCCAAGTATGTGGTATGAGGATAATATTAAACCATGGTCCAAAAATCAGTCACTTGTTAATGTCATAATATTTAACATTTAAATGATCCATAACCAACTTAAAAGTTATATTACATATGAATAAACTGTACAACATTCATCAATGAAGATGAACAAATAATCAAATACAATATCTACATTTCTATTCCTAGATGAGGACGTTAACTCCTGATTCAATAACCATGACTTGTCGATGAAGATTTTGAGGATGAAGTACCCATCTGCATACATATTCTTCTCGAAATAGCTGCTCGTTGGTGTTTGGTCAACTTTGAATTTATATCAGCAATATACTCTGTCTCAATCTTGTGTCTTAATCTTATCTGCACATATAACATGTATAACATATATATCATACATAACATATAACAAATTGAATATTTAGTAAATCACTTTTCATAAAAAAACTATAATTAACATGAACATACCTTTTTCTCGTCACGACGGTCTCTTTTTGCAGACATTTTTTCCCAAACTAATCCTGTTACAAATTATTAAAATTGTAACTTACAATGACAAAATAGTAAAAAAAAAAAAATTAAGTCCAATCATGTTACACATAATTTTGGTCAAATTGTGAATTATGCAAACGTGGGTGTAAATCTTGTGCATATTATACAAAATGTTTGTCATGCAAATACAATTCTTCATTGTAGCATTTCATCAAACACTTGTTGGACATTAATATAGCATCACAACTCAATTAACCCTAAACCCTACAGAATACTTTCATTACAAACCCAATCAAACATAAACAGAAAACAAAGCAAGAATGCGCAAATACAATTCTTCATTATAGCATTTCATCAAACACTTGTTCGACATTAATATAACATCACAACTCAATTAACCCTAAACCGTGAAAAACACCTTCATTACAAACCCAATCAAAGATAAGTTGCAGAACAGCAAACAACAATGGAAACCCAATAAAAAATACAGACAAAATCAAGCAAATGTTGTTAAACGAACACTCACCGCACGGTCGCTCAAGCGACTAACAGTGATGTTCAGCTCCAACGACACGGAGGAAGACAAGCGACAGGAAGTCGAGCGCCGTGAGAGCGAGACAGAGAAGACAAGCGAAAATTTACCCTAAGTCGAGCGAGAGGAAGTCCAGCGAGGTCAAACGAGAATGTGTCAAGCGAAAAATACTGTACCTTCTTCAAACATATATTTCACTCTTTACCATAACATCCCCCATTTTTACAATATTACATCTCTGACCCCTACAATTTTACTAATCAAACCCTTATTTTTAATTAAATTCTTTTTTGCCCCAGTCGAACGGATGTTTGTTTTCCGGTTGTCAAAGTATCGTTTTCGTTAAAAAAATCGGGAAGGAAAATCAGGAAGACAAAATCTGTCCTTGCCTCGTTTTGCCATGTCTAAACACAACACTAATATCCCAAAATATTTGTAATTAAAATAAAAGTACAAGTGATAAAAAATCACATATTAACCCTTAGTTATGTTTGTACTTGTCTCTCAAGTAATTTATAGAAACGAGTGACTGGATGGGACAGACAGAAAGAATAATATCACACGAGAAATAATCTTCCATGCCATGAGAAAATGTGATAATTCATATATTCTACTTTCCTAAACAGAAAACTTCATTCCCAGCTCAAACTCAAGCTTTCACGACAAAGCTACGAGTTCTGTATGAAAAAAATACACACAAATATTTAATATGAATCGTTGCAGGAACGAGCAGCCCCTTTTAAAATTTTGATCATTTATCATGACCAAATTTTTTTCTTATTTTCCCTCTCTCTGATTCCTTGAACCAGATCTCTGCTTGTGCTAGCTCTCTTGTGAGAGACTGGAGCTTGATTGGCAGTGGTTGGTCTTGATAATGGCCTCACACTCCTCACTATTTTGGGTGGATCAGATTTCCTGGTGACTTTTTTATCGGGCAACGATGATGGCATGACAAAGTTGTTTTCATCATTGCTTCTAAACTCTCTTCTTTTGTTTCTTATCTTATTGGTGGAATCACTCCCTTTGAACGAAGAATTGTCTCGGCTTATCTGGCGGTTTACTGAGTCGGAACACCTTAAAATGCCAGCCTCAATCTCACTTGGACATTCTTCATTCATGTAGTTTTTACCTATATCTGGTGTGGCCTTTACTGCATCCACATAACTCTGTGTTTGTTGCCAATGCTGCTCTCGCTCTCTGTACCTGTCTTCCAGTTCCGTCATCTGTCATGACATGTAATATTGACACATGGTCACGGGAATGATGAAAATGAACAAGAAAATTGATGAAACAGAAAGAAATTGTAACAAATGATAAAACTTCCTTTCAGTTTATGAAGCTAATGAGATAAGTAAAACAAATACTAATCAGGTAGTCTTAAAAG